AATCATTTGAAAATGTAGAAAACATCCAAAATATTTAAATTAAATGGTATTCTATTATTGTTTAACCATGCGATTAATTTTGTTAATCGTGATTAACTTTTTAATCGCTTGATAGCCCTAATTTGAACGTTTGTACGATTGATTGCAGTTAAACTCACTTGAATAGGAGTAATTTTATCAGGGGTCCCATATTCAGCATAGGGAAATATGGTCACCCTAAGTATGGCCAAAATTTTGAAACTTGGATTCCTCAAGTTTGGGTTCCCCCAAATTCATATTTAGGCTCGCTTAGTGTATGTCTACACTGCACACTCCTTACGGTGGATGTAGAAAGTGTGGAGTAAATATTCTGCACAACTGCCGCCCCAGCATGGATATAAATAGCACTGTACACAGTGAGGCACTGGTTAGGTGAGTAAAGATGCCTGTATGTACCCTACATGACTCTCTACATGCCCAAGTAGCACCACCTCTGTCTACACTATTTTTAGCAGTGTAGTGTCCCATTACCTCCCTGCTACTGGAGTCTTTCCCCCCTGCAGGGAAAGGCTCCAAAGGGAAGGAAAGGTAGCAGGGAAAGATTCTGGCAGCTCCCCCCTCCTGAGCCTTTCCATGCCACAGGGGAAGACTGCAGCAGTGGGGAAGGCTCTGGCAGGGGGAAGTAACAGGGAAAGGCTGTGACAGCTCCCTGCTGGATCCTTCCCTTCCCTCAGGTAGAGCCTTTCCTCACACAGTGAAAGGCTCCGGCAGCAGGGAACACCAGAGCCTTTCCCCCTGCTTTCCACTGTCAGAGCCTTTCATTGACACATATAGCTACACATCACAGTGCGGATACAGCCAGCTTTCCACTGTGGCATGCAGTTATATGTATACTACACTCTGCCACCAGTGGTGTGCAGCATAGGCATATCTTAAGTACCTGATCCTGCTCCATTCAAGTCAATGGGAGCTTTATAATGGACTTCACAGGGCACAGGATCAAACTCATAGTTGCTTAATTTTCAGAGGTACTAAGCATATATTTTAGTGACCACGATTGAAGGTGCTTATTAGATAGCAGTACAGCATCTCTGTTCTGTAGCCCCAATACACCAGATTTCACCAATGTTCACAGAAAGCAAACACCAAGCAGGTGAGAACATAGCCACCCAAAATTTGTTTAAAAAGTTGAATGAATATTCAAGGAAAATTTTTTGCATTATGCATTCAGTTTCAGTTTCAAAAATGAAATGCAACTTTGCCTCCAGTGCTATTGTGACTAGTGTAAAACAGGTAAATAAACTGCATTTGACTTATAGGGAAAGATGGACTGATTTCAGAAATGTAATGTATGCACTCAGGCCCATTGACAGTAATTCCAGGTCCCAGGGCAAAACAGTCAATGGGCCCCCATGCATGCACAAGCCGTGCCCGCGTGGACGCGATCCACCTGACACTTGGGCGGTGCTGCACCTGCGCTGGCTAGTGCCCAGCGAACTGCTGGCTGCGCGTGCTCTTCCGGCACGGCCAGGGCTTCCACATGCCCGCCCAGTAGGGTTGCCAACTGTCTAATCATGCAAACCCAAAGACCCTTGCTCCGCCCCTGTCCTGCCCCTTTCCTGAGGCCATGCCCCTGTCCCACCCCTTCTTTGAGGCCCCACCCCCTGCTCACTACATCCCCCCTCCCTCCATTGCTTGCTCTCCCACACCCTCACTCTCTTTCACCAGGCTGGAGCCGGGGGTTGGGTTGAGGGAGGGGGTGCAGGCTCTGGGAGGGAGTTTGGGTGTGGGGTGTGGCCTCTAGGCTGGGGTGCAGGAGGAGGTCAGGGGGTCGGCACTTACCTCGGGTGGCTCCTGAAAGCAACTGGCACATCCTTCTGGCAGCAGCTCCTAGGCGGGAGGCTCTGGGGGTTTCTGTGGCCACGTGCTGCTGCCCGCAGACACTGCCCCTGCAGCTCCCATTGGCCACAGTTTGCGGCCAATGGGAGCTGCGGAGTCGGCGCTCGGGACGGGGCAGCGTGCATCGATCCCCTCCCCAGGGGCCACAGGGACAGGCTGGCTGCTTCCGGGAGCAGCGCAGAGCGAGGGCGGGCAGGAAGCCTGCCTTAGCCCTACTGTGCTGCCGGTGGCAGCTGGGGACTCCCGGGCCCTTTTAAATCAGCCGGGCCCCTGGTCAGTTGCCCCCTTTACCCCCTGCTTGCAGCATTAAACCTAGTGCATACAGGCCCGCTGACATCTATACAAATATAAAATTTCTGGCTTATGTAAACCTGAGCATATTTACTTATTTTTAAACTGTATTATAGTTTTGGTAGAATTTCTGTAATCACATAATTAGATAATCACAATAACCTATAGCCATTAAAAATTACAGCGTTCTGAGATATAACCAGTCTAGAATTACCTTGGATATCTGAAAAGAAATACTCTACAATTGAATTTTAAAATATCCCAGCCTCAAAAAGTATTAAATTCCTGGCACTCAAAAATGTATTAGTAGTGAAGGAGTTACATTACTATTTAATGTGTGTGTATACGAGAATTGGTTGTGCACACGTTTTGCTGCACCTCATCTTGCTTCAGCACCAGTTTTACAGAGTTGTCATTTGGCTCCTGTTGCTTTTCACTTTAACTAGAAAACTGGCCTTTATTCATTATGCATATTCGTGTTAACTGATTTCTCACTGCTTAGGAATAATCTATGCTTTGTGGTGTTTATGTGATAAATTAAAAAAAAAATCTTTGAACTGAAACATAACGTTCAGTGTAAAAATGGTTACAAAATGCTTCATAGTCTAAAGTTCAAACTATATAAAAACAAAGTGAAGACAGGCTCCTTTGAAATCCCATTTAAAATTCCTGTTTTCTGATTGGTTGTTGATATTGCTTGCTTATGATTTCATGGCACCACAAAGTCAAACCCCTGAGCTGTGAATGTTTGCTTGGACAATGGCTAGTTAAATATGTACGTAAACATGTATTTATTTGTTAGTTCATTTTAAATGAAAGAATGAGGGATAATTTTCATGGTGAATGGGATATGAGGCCATAAATGGCTCAGACATGTGATTAAATGCCTAATTAAAGCTGAGGCATTTGATATTAATCAAAATGTTTATTGAAAGTGCCTAATGGAAGGGACATTGCTCCTATTATATGACAAAAAAAGAAGATAAATTACAACATAAAAAAACTAAGACACTGCTTTTATTGCAATTGCTACATCGGTAGACATCACAGCAAGGACAATGATTGGACAGAATTCTTGTTAAAGAATGGTGTCATAAAAATAAAGGGAAGGGTAACCACCTTTCTGTATACAGTGCTATAAAATCCCTCCTGGCCAGAGGCAAAACCCTTTCACCTGTAAAGGGTTAAGAAGCTAAGATAACCTCACTGGCACCTGACCAAAATGACCAATGAGGAGACAAGATACTTTCAAAGCTGGAGTGGGGGAAACAAAGGGTCTGTCTGTCTGCGTGATGCTCTTGCCGGGAACAGATCAGGAATGCAGTCTCAGAAACTCTGTTAAGTAAGTTAGTAAGTAATCCAGCTAGAAATGCGTTAGATTTCCTTTTGTTTAATGGCTGGTAAAATATGGTGTGCTGAATGGAATGTATACTCCTGTTTTTGTGTCTTTTAGTAACTTAAGGTTTTGCCTAGAGGGATTCTCTATGTTTTGAATCTGATTACCCTGTAAGGTATTTACCATCCTGATTTTTACAGAGGTGATTCTTTTACCTTTTAATTAAAATTCTTCTTCTAAGAACCTGATTGCTTTTTCATTGTTCTTAAGATCCAAGGGTTTGGGTCTGTATTCACCTGTACAAATTGGGGAGGATTTTTATCAAGCCTTCTCCAGGAAAGGGGGTGTAGGGCTGGGGGGATATTTTGGAGGAAGACACCTCCAAGTGGGCTCTTTCCGTGTTCTTTGTTTAACACGCTTGGTGGTGGCAGCATAGGGTTCAAAGACAGGGCAAAGTTTGTACCTTGGGGAAGTTTTTAACCTAAGCTGGTAAGAATAAGCTTATGGGGTCTTTCATGCAGGTCGCCACGTCTGTACCCTAGAGCTCAGAGTGGGGAAGGAACCTTGACAGATAGGATTAAGGGTCAACATTTAGGTATGAGTGAAGAAGGCAGAAGAGGGATATGAAAGTAGAAGAGGCTGGCAAGAGGGAGGGAATGGACAGGCAGATGGTAAGGAGTGGTAGGCAGTAAAGAGGCATGGGGAAAAGGAGAGCATTGCCTGATCTTGCCCCATGAAGTCAATAGGAGCTTTACCTTTGAGTAAAATGGACACAGGATCAAGCTGTAGGACAACAAAATCAAGAGTCATAATGAAGCTGGAGGAAAACATAATGGTTGATTTAGAAAAAAAAGTGAATTGATTGAAATGGCACTAAAAACAGATTAGCTGATGTCTGTGGTCTCTGCCGGAGAGGGGGTAGCAGAGTCCCCATAACCCATTCTGCAGTCCACAAGGAGTACTTATCATAAAGAGGCGGTGTAGGGCCTACCCCCAATGCTCAGGAGTCCTATTTCCATGATGTTGGCAATGAGCCTGCCCTTCTTGCTGGCTGCTAGTGGCTGGTCTGAGGTTCTTTGGGGGGTGGGAGGAAGGGGAAGAGGGTGCCCCAGAATAGTGCTGGTGGAGGTGACAGATTGCTGGCACCCAGTCTCGCTGGAACTGCTTCCCTGCTGGGTTGCATGTTGATCTCTACTCACTTCCCTTCTATCTTACATATAAAATGTTGTTACATTTTATATCAGCAATAGCTGCACTTCAGAAATAGGTATTGTGACTCCTGAATATGTAATCTACACTAGCCATTGATAATAACAGAAAGAAGCCCAAAGCAAACTTCCTCAGATGTGAATAACCCCAAAGTTTGGGGATATTGAAATCCAATTTTGATTAACGGGCACCTTACCCCTATATTTCATTGATTATAAAGCCAAAAGGGACCACTATACTTCCCACCATGTCTGATATCCTGCATAACACATGCCATATTACTTACCTGAATTAGTTCCTCTTTTAACTAGAGCATCTTCTCTAGACAAATATCCAATCTTGATTTAAACAATCTTGATTTAAATTCATCACAACCCTTGGTAAATTGATCCTGTGGTTAAAAAAATTATGCCTCATTAAAAAAATTATGCCTTATTTCCAGTCTGAAATTGTCTAACTTCAACTTCCAGGCATTGGCTTTTGTTATGCCTTTGTCTGCTAGACTGAAGATTCCTTATTCTCCAATTTCTGTTCCCCATGTAGGTACTTGTAGACCATGATTAAGTCACCCCTTAACCTTTTCTTTGATGAGCTTAATAGACAGTTATTTGAGTCTATCACTACAGGTCATGTTTTCCAAACCTTTAATTAGTCTCATGGTTCTGGGCCCCCTCCAATTTATCAAAATCCTTCTTGATCTGTGTACACCAGAACTAAACATAGTATTCCAGTAGTGGTTGCACCAATGCCAAATACAGAGATAATACAGCCTCTCTACTACTTGTTATTTGTCTGTTTATACATCCAAGAATTGCATTAGCCTTTTTGGTCACAGCATTCACTGGGAGCTCATGTTCAGCGGATTATCCACCCTGACTCTCAAGTCTTTTTCAGAGTCACTGCTTCCCAGGATAGGGTCCCCATCCTGTAAGTATGGCCTACAATAATGAGTAACATCAAAACATTGGCTCCAAACCTATCTTTTCCCCCCATACTCTGGAAAACTTCAGATCTGCAACTGAACTTTGGGGTGGTTTATGCCCATTTCTAGTCAGGAATGTTTCTAGAGGACTTTGGGATCCATAAGGATGGAAGGTGACTTAATCCATTAACATGTTTGGAGTCATACACAAGAACAATATAGACTGAATTGGGGATAAATAGTATTCCAGTAGTGGTTGCACCAGTGAAATTGTGGTGAAAGAGGAGATTTTATGACTATATGGAGGATATGTCCAGTCATTAGAGACTTCTGAGATGCTATTCGTAACCAAATACTACAAATTGTTGGATATGTATTACCAAGTGAACCTTTCGTAATGCTGCTGGGACTTTCTAACAGAAATAGTCTCACTTCAAAGAAGTAAAAGAATTAATCTCTCAGTGGCTAGACTAAGATAGCCATTCATTGGAAGAAGAAAAATAATCCAAAATGAGAGGAATGGTTCCAGAAAAATATGGAAAAATTAACACATCATCAACTACATACCCAGCAAAATGGGCAGAGGACAAATAAATACTTTGATGTTTGATTTCCATTTATTTATTACTCAAAGTACAACCACCTGCAAAGATCCCCAGCACACCTCCATTTTTTTTTAAATAGTAATGTTTGATAGACATGCCTGGTTTGATAATTATGAGGAGAGTCAGTAGTTTCACTCAAATATAATGACCAGAAACAATGTAGGGGTGTAAAGAAGCTCACTCTGTAATATAGTAACACCCTGTTAAATAGAAAGATTTGTGGATTATATTTCTGCTTCATGTTTCTCTAACCACCCACACACTCCAGTAAGGGTACGGAGAGCAAATCCAAGATGAGGCTGAACAACTCATATGAGGCTTTCTATCAGTATTTTCCTGTACATAATATTCTTCTCCAGTATTTCACCTCCACTGTATCTCTAGTGCTTTTATTGAGTCCCTTTTGAAGTGTGTTCTCTGTTTCATACGGAAGTAGGGATGTGGAACTGGGGGTTAAGAAGGCTTCAGTGGCTTTACCAGCACCTAATCCTTTCTTTGGTTTAGTAGCTGAATTCCCCTGAGGTACTCAGAGGGTGAATGAAAGCCATGATCAATTCCTTGATATTTTTTAATACCTGTAAAGAATGTCTAGATACAGTAATGCTGGTCACTTTAGAACTGAACCCATAATAATTTATCACCAATTAGACTGATCTTTGCAAAAACCTTCAAAAAATTAAATAGCAATTCATAAGATTGAATTGTATGTTACCAATTTTTTAACTACTCTATGTCAATGTGGGATCAGAAATTTCAGACTGTGACTCAAGCTAAATAACAAGGATACCATAGTTAGACAAGTTCTCTCATGGAAATTTTTTTATTACTTCTTACAGATCATTCATTTATAAGTTCCTCCTAGCAAGCCGTAGAGTCCACTATATTTAAGCATGCTAATAAGTATTCTAATATTTTTCTCTTAACAAAAAGATATGGAAGGCATGTGATGAAATCAATATTTCACTCATTTGGTTTTCACCGCATTCAAGCAATGTTAAATTTTCTTCATTAAAAACTCTCTGCCTGGACCTGGTCTATGTTAGATCATATGTGTAAGCCTAACATTGACAAATTATCTTTTTCACAATTCTGTCATTTGTCTTATACAGAATTCAGGATCTGAATTTTTCTACTTTTTTTCCTGCAAAAGTGAAAGCTTTGGCTTCAATTCAGAATCCATCTATCCATTTCATATTCATCACCATGGTATCTAAATAACTTCAATTTAATACATTTCTGTGTAGTCACAAAAATATCCAACTCTCTCCAGCCCTCAAAAGATAATATCACCCCACTGTACTACCGTTTTTAAGATTCCTAAGGGTATTGTAAGAATCAGATTAAACTGGACTAAGGTTAGATAGAAAGATTAGATGGCACTATACAGAGAAAGGAAAGTAGTAATAGGCTATACAAAAGATATAACTGAAAGATAAACATATGTATTGGGAAAAGGTTAAATCAATTCATAGGGAAAAGAATCAGAGAAACAGAGCAAGAAATACTAAACCCAATGATCATCTTCAATCTACCTTAATCCCCATACAGTGTAAATGTTACTATATGAAAAATGATTTTGTATAAAAGTGTAATACAAAAATGCTAATTATTTTAGCCTTCTGCCAATTTCCCACTCTAGCACGTGAACAGATGTCAGATTAATCCTTTCCATTTTTGACTTGTACGAAATCTCATTAGGATGGAATGCCCTGCAGTGAAGTCATCCAGCACAAGAGCAGTGCACTATTTATAGGGTTGCCAACTTTGTAATATTTGAAAACTGGAGACTCCATCAGAAGTGCCGAACCGCCCCGGCCTGCCTCTCCCCCCAAAATCCTGCCCCCCATTCACTCCTCTTCCCTCCTCCTCCCGTCGCTCACTGCTATTCCCCCTCTCTCCCCTGCCCAGGTCAGGAGGGACTCACCTGTGGAGATGGGGCTGGGAGCTGCAGCCACTTGATTCAGGTAGGAGGCAGCCCTGGCTGAGTAGAGACTGACGTGGGTGATGACCCGGTGCCTCCCCACCAGCAATAATCGGATTTTGGGTGTCTTGTCAGTAGATCTGACTGGACATTGTCAGATCCCCTTTTCAACTAGACTTTCTGGTTGAAAACTGGCCACCTGGCCACCCTAAGTCCACTTACCAGAGTTTACGCCGAGCATAGGCTTGTGCTGACCTATACTCAAAGGGAGAATTTAATCCATAAAGACAAATAAGAATGCATGCACATGCTAGAAGAAAGGGTTAACTATTCAGAAATAGGCAGATTACATTTCACAAGATTAAACTGTGCTCTACGCTGTTCTTCTGGCTATGTATGGACACTGGTACTAGACGCTCCTTGCTCAGAATGCATTCTTTCCTCTGTGACTTGGCTTTACACTTAGCTTTTTATAGCACATTTCCTCAAGGAGATCATTTTTAGCAAGACTGAAATACTAGGATAGCAATGTAAAAATACACACAGTCTGGCTGTAGATCTGGATTACATAATTATACCAAACTGCAGATCCTCACAGATTTGCAAAGGATAATTTGCTAATCATAGTCATTGCATGGGCTGTAAAAAGGTTTACGAGGAATTACCTGTTCTGTAGACTTGCACTGTGGGACTGAGAACAGGCAAAATTGTGACAGGGAGCCGGCAGTTAAAAGCCATCCATCACAAGGCTCCGCTCACCTCTGGGCTGCCTAAGAAAAGAATGCGAAGCTCCAGCAAAATGCTCCATGAAAATACTCACAAGGAATATTGGGCCTGAGGCCTTGTCTACACTGCAGAGTTTTGGTGGCAAAAGAGCAGAGGTGTACACACTGCAGTGCCACTTTTGGTAACAAAACTCTTCTGTTTTGGCGATGAAATAAAATCACCTCGACGAGAGACAGAGAGCTTTTTGCACAAAACTTTTGTCAACCAAGTGCCAGGGTAGACGCTGCCGGTTGTTATGTCGACAGAACTGGCCTCCCCAATATACCACAATGCCTGCAGTCACTGCTCTGCTCACTGTTTTGAACTTGGCTGCCCTGTAGGCCTGTGCCCCTGCCCTTTCAAAGCTCTTGAAAGCTTTGACCTTCCTCAGCACAGAGCTGCTCAGGATGCTGCTCCCTGAGACTGTTGTGCTGTGCAGAGCCAGGGGCTGATGTGGGGGGTGTCCCCCTCCGCTGGGATTGGTTGCTCAGGCTGCTGTCTCACCTTAAAAAGACAACATGCTGACACACTCTCTGCCCCAACACACACACTGTCTCTCTCACACATACCCTCCCCACAAACACAATCTCACACATTTCCCCAATATGCACACTTTCTGTCTCTCCCCCACTCAACACACACGCACACTCCCTGTCACACACTCTTTCCCTCTCCCCCCAACCCCCACATAAACTTCAGTTGAAAAGTGGCTGGCAATCTAGTAGGATACCCATGGAATGATGGGATTGAGAAACCTGCATCATGTGACCTGCCCCATGAGGCATTGCAAACCCTTCCCAAAACACCATGCGGCCAGTTGCACAGTGGGATAGCTACCCACAGTGCAATGCTCTGTGTCAATGCAAGGAGCTGCTAGTGTGGATACACTGTCAACACAAGGAGCATAATGTGGACATGCAACAGCAGTTTAATTAAAGCAGCATAACTTTGCTGACAAAACTCTGCAGTGTAGACAGGGCCTTAGTCTCATTTACACTAAAGGTCACTTGACACTATCCTGGCACTTTAAAGTGATCTTAAAGCAGGAGTAAATTATGTTTGCAGTTATATAATTATTCTGCTAGCATAGTATAAAGCTGTAAATGAGACCCTTTTTTTAAAAAAAGGCGTGCATCTGCAGAGAAAAGGGGCATGAGAATGTCTATTTTCTCT